TGTGTGTGTGTGTGTGTGTGTGTGTTGGACTGGGTTCACTTCCTGAGGCCGATCGAGGCAAATTGAAAACAGACGTTTCTCTCTTTCTGTGACTCAGGCTGTTGGTTTCCATTCGTCGTTCGTCTGGAATGAGACTGGAAAGTGGAGACGAAGCAGAAGAAGCAGAAACGGAGAAAGAGCGAGAGGAGAAGAAGAAGAGCTGCATCAGAAGGTCTGAACTCTCTCCTTTAACTACACGGTAGAAATCCTGTGAAATGTTGCTCTCAGATGTACGTCTGCTGAATGAGCCTGTAGAGTTGTAAAGACTGTTGTGTTCACACAGCAGGCTTCAACCCTCTGAATCTGTTTTCACAAAGAAGTTGTGACCAGCAACAGACCTTTTGGCTTTATCTGTGTATTTCTGTGGTTATACTGCACCTTTGGTTGTTGTGCTTCTGTTTGTGGTGACTGAACCTCCAGCAGTTGAGCTGAGACAGAAACCAGCAGCCAGACCTGAGCTCCAGGATTCATGTTGTTGTCGTACAGAAGCCAAAACTTTGTGGATGTGAGAGCTGTGATCTCGATGCTTCTCACTGTGCCGTGAACTGATCCAGTTATCTGATGTGCAGATTGACGCAGGTGCAGTTTATGTTGTGGTTGTCATGGTGACCACCAGGTGTTGAGTTTGTGGAGAAGATTCATTGATTGGCAGATGGTCGACCGTTTATTAATGACTGAAGTTTTACGACTGGTCTGATTGGGTAATACGTTTTAAAAGTGGTGATAATTATTCAGCTACAGCCGATCAACCTGTTGCTGTCACGCATCGCTGCCAACAACGTCACTGCTGTGACACACAGAAGCCTCTGATGGGAAACTTGACATGACAGCAGACATGCTCAGTGTTTACCTGCTACATCTCCGTGGTAACTGATGGCGCACAGCTGGAAAAATGACATCAGAGTCTCATGCTTGTTTTTAATAATCAGTCATCTGTTTTCTCACTGACAGCTGTCAATCATCTGAAGCTAAACCAATCATGATGCAGAGGCGGAGCTCCACCATGGACAAGTGACGGACAGGTGAGCCTAACTTCACAACTGCACTGTGATTGGCTGCTGTGACGATCAGTAAAACATTATTTACTGGTAACATCGATCAGAGTTTGATCAGCTTTAATTGACTGAGATACTGCAGTTATTGATCTGAATACTGCAGATACCTGGGTTTAGTTCTGGTTGACTTCTGGGTCCTGACTCCATTATTTGGGGTCTTCTGGCCCAATGACTGCTGTTGGTCCCTGAGAAGAACCAGGATCAGGTCCTGAGGAGGACCAGGAGTCAANTTACCTTTGCTGTTACCTGTCCTGTTACCCGTCCTGTTACCCGTCGTGCTACCTGTGCTGTTACCTGTACTGTTACCTGTGCTGTTACCTGTCCTGTTATCTGTCCTGTTGATCCATGCACATCAGATCACCAGATCTTTCAAGTGGAAAACAAGAAACCAGCGTATATAAGTATGTGATGCCTTAACTCCCATATCAGTGTAATCTCTAACTAGCCTTAGTGAAGCTTTTCTTCTTGAACCTGAGCTGGGGCTGTTGGTCCCGGTACCAGGACTTTCCCCGCCTCCACCAGAGGGCAGCTGCTACACAACTGCTTCTGTCTGTTTGTGGTCACTTTGTGTACAACGTGTGTTAAAGAGACACCTGCTGGTCAACCTGTGCAGGTGCAGTCGCTTCACTGAACAAACAGAAAGTGATCATATAAGTTTAGCCACATATTCTCTAAAGTAAAACACGTCTCTGATTCATTGGTACCATATAACCGAGAATCTGATAGAAGTTTATGTAATGGATCCGACTGAAGTCTGTGAGTCAGGCTGATGTTTTAGTTTTAGAGCCAGAAGACAAACTGATTTATTACTGATCGATCGATGGATCTGCTGATTCTGCTTTTTCACACACACACAGACACACAGACACACAGACACACA